GAGGAGGGGACTGGGAGGAAGTGGAGGGAGGAACTGAGCCGTGCTGGGAACCTGGGAGGGGCCGTACTGGGCTATACTGGTCTATACTGGGTCATGCTGGACCAGACTGGGCTCTACTGGGCCATAATGAGACATAATGGTCCAAACTGGCCATACTGGGAGAGGGCTACAGGCTTGTATTGGTTCCTACTGGGGTTCCTGGTCCTACTGGGAAGGTTTTGGTGGCCTTCGTGGGCCATGTCACAAGGTCTCACTGGTCCATGCTGGTTTATGCTGGTTCATACCAGTCCAAATAGGACCCTACTGGTCCCTAAAGGTCCATAACAGTCCATACTGGTCCAAACTGGCTATACTGGGAGTGGGCTACAGGGTCATTTTGGTTCATATTGGTGTTACTGGTCCTGCTAGGAAGGGTTTGGTGGCCCTAATGGGCCATCCAGGAAGAGCTTACTGGGCCATAGTGGTTCATACTGGTCTATACTGGTCCAGACTGGTCCATGTTGGTCCATATTCATTCAGACTGGTCCATACTGATCCGTACTGGTGACACCAGGAAGGCTTTGGTGGCCATCATGGGCCATCCTGGAAGGTCTTACTGGTCCATAGTGGGCCTTGGTGGGCCATACTGGTCTTACTGGTGCTACTGGGAAGGGTTGGTGGCCCTAATAGGCCATCTGAGAAGGTCTTCATGGTCTATACTTGTCCATAGTGGGCCATACTGGTCTTACTGGTCCTACAGGGAAGGGTTTGGTAGCAATGAGGGACCATGCAGGAAGGTCTTACTGGTCCATAGTGGTCTATACTGGCCTATAGCGGTCCATGCTGATCCATAGTGGCCTATTCTGGTCCATACTGGTCTGTAGTGGTCCATACTGGTCCATAGTGGCCTATACTTGTCCATACTGGGCCATGCTGATCCTACTGGGAAGCATTAGGTGGCCATAATGGACCATCCAAGATCTTACTGGTCCATACTGGTCCACTGTGGTCTCTATTGGTTTGTGTTGTTTCTTAGTGGTCTATTCTGGTCTGTAGTGGTCTGTAGTGGTTTGTACTGGTTTATACTGGTTTATACTGGTCTGATGGCTCCCCCAGCAGGCGATGCCAGAAGCTGACCCCCGCCTGGACCCGGGCCGCTGGGCGGCCGCCAGCTTCCGGGCCCGGGGGGTGCCGTCCCCCTCCCCTCCCCGGCCCCCGCGGGGCCTTTGGCGCTGGC